TAGAATAAAAATGCTATATACAACTGAGTAAAAATACAACGATGCCAGAAAAACTACAAGCAACTGCAGGTTTCCCACAAAGCTCTTTGCAACCAGTTTCATGTTGCTATTGCCAGCAACCGCTTGTTAGCTTATAGTAGTACACACTTATTCCCTCACCACTGGAGATGCCTCCGCTCAGCCTCTAGGGCGGTGCGTGACTGGGGGTTGTGTTGCAGCGAGTGAAACTTTCACTGGTACAGGATGGATTCAGAGAGGCTTCAGACGATGGCTCAGGAGTCTGATGGCAGGAGTGAAAATCAAGATTTAACAGATTAATTCTGTCGGTGTTACATGCTGCAGGGTGCTCGCCGTTTTGTTTTTATCTGTTTCATTATTGTTGTTGTGAAACTGCTGAAAGAAACGTTTAGTTTTTGCAAATCAGGTTTTAGTCTCATGGTAATAAACGTTTGATTTGCATATTTGACTTGGTCATTTAAGAGAAACCTCCGTCCTCTGTTATTGTTTAAAATATTTAATACAGTGAATTCAGTGTTTTAAATGTAATTTTACATAATGAATGCTGCTACACCGAGTATCAGAAATATGTAAGCAGGCGTCTGTAAAGCTGAAGAGAGCCACACTGAAAGGAAAAGCTGTTAAAGTTGCAGTGATAAATATGTTCTGTCAATAGTGAATGAAATTGTGGACAAATACGTAACAGAGGTCATCTGCAGTGACAGGTCTGAGGTTTGCTTCAGATTTATGGGCATTTTAAAGTCTGTCAACACAAAGTTAGCAGCTTTGTAGTACAGATCAGCAGCTAAAGGAGGAAACCGGGAAGTTAGTGAGGAACCAGCGGAGCTAAAAACATCATGAATAAAACATTCATGGAGCGGCTCAAACATGCTTCCAAACGCTCACTGTTTTAAAAGCTTTAAAAGATGAAAGCATATTAATGCTCTGTTCCCGAGTAGCAAAAACAACCATTATGTGTCTTTGTTATTCCCCCTACCCACAAGGTGCCCCAGGATGAGTGGGGGGGTTATCCTGGAGGTGGGAAGGACGATGAGATACCTTGCCGTCGGATGCGGAGCAGCAGCTATGTTAAAGCCATGGGGGACGAGGAGAGCGGCGAGTCAGACTCCAGCCCCAAGACGTCGCCTCAGAAGTCAGTGCGGCCAGACGCCCTGGTCAAGGCCATCATCAGACCCAGGGACCTGCTGGACTCCCAGAGGTATGACGCATGCTAGCTACAAGTTTCAGTAATTGATGTTGTTTGGCTCTTTGTCGGTTTTTCCTTGCAGGCTCGTGTTTAGTGAGTCAGTGTCCCCGTAGTGCTGCACAAAGCAAACATCTCTCTGCTGTCCTGAATATAAACATGTATGTTTATGCAATCACATATCCTACACATGGTTTTTATGTTTGCAAAAAAGAAAGAGAAACATAATGACACCAGTCAAACTCTAAGTATTGATCCCAGTCTGTTCAACGTCCGCCTGGATTTCCCCAACCGGGGAGGTTCATACCGCTGTGGCTGCCAAACATAAAAACAGCTCAAATAATTATAATTTAAACTTTCACAAGTTTAGTTTGAGGGTTGATTATAACAGACTTGCATGCTTTCTGTCTTTTTCCTTCGTGTGCCGCAGCTGTTTTCACCCACAGTCTAAAAATCCCTTTATTTCCTCTCACTTTAATTCATTATAGGTCACCAACAACCACTGGTTACGTACTGTAACCCCGGTACAGTCGTACCTTTGTGAGCTGTCTGCTAATAATAAAAACTCAAACTCAAACATAAATAAAAATGTGACTTAAATGCAAAACGGTGTTACTATTTCTGAGGTTATCGGATTTGTGTCCATTTATGTTTCAGATGGGGTTTGAAGTCAGAGTGGGAGTGCCTTATATTTTAGTTCAATTCAATTCAGTTCAATTTTATTTATACAGCGCAGAATCACGACAGTCGCCTCAAGGTGCTTTATATTGTAAGGTAGACTCTACAATAACACATACAGAGAAAAAACCCAACAATCATATGAGCAGAACTTTGGCGAAAGTGGGAAAGAAAAACTCCCTTTTAACAGGAAGCAGAACCTCCAGCAGAACCAGGCTCGGGGAGGGGCGGGGCCATCTGCTGTGATTGGTTGGGAGATAAATCAGTCAAATTAGAGTAAAAATAAGACAACAGCCTCCTTGTAGGATAAACCGCTGTTTGCCCGATGATTACACTTAATTTTTATTTTTTTGTATTTATGACTGGTTGAAAGTCGCTGACATTCATATAGAAGTATAGTTTTTCCAGCTTCTGGAACCTTTATTGCTTCATAAAACCTCTTTAAATGAGTTCATTTTCCTGACATCTGATGTAATTTCAGATCATGAACATGGATCTGTGTTTTTAGGAGCAGTTGTTGCCTCACTGTTATTCTCTCGTGCACAATCCCCC